TCATACCACTGGTGGGTTCATGAGCAGTTTTGACTCTATACCCCACGTTCAAATTCCAAACGCATATACTGCCACTCTCGTACGAGGCGGCCACATGAGTACCATCAGAACATACGACAATCGATTTTACTGGGCTTCTTATGGAATGGGCAGCAGGGTCCTCGGATAAGGTCGGTACTAGAATTGTTTGCAAATGCTCGTTGAAATTGAAAATCAGTACGGATCCTCTAGAAGTACCCATTAAAAAATATGTGGTTGTGGGATATAAACAAGTGGGTCCTCCATAGGCACCCAGAATGGAATATACATGAGTCAAAGTCGTCCATGAGACTACAGATTCAGAACCTTGTGATATTGCAGTTGCCACCCCTTTAGGCCCCTCATCGTCCCCCGGTTGTGATGCTGGAAATGCGGTGTTAGATGCCAATTTTTCACTCAAGTGAGTATACGATCTGAATTCTAAAAAACTCTTTTGGGTGTCATTGATGGTATCGATGCTGGATCTGCTATCATGATCAAGGCCGTTTTGTTCCATGATATATGGAGGTGTGCTCGCAGGTTAATCGGTCCTTACTTACTAAGCTATTGTGTTTACCGTACCTTTTTATCACTACACTTATCTACACAGGTTTACCATGATCGAGAGGTTCCCTTTTTTTTTTTTTCTTCAAGAATCTTCAATTTTAATGCCATGGGCTTTCTTTGCCCATAATTAGCTACAAATCATGAGATTTTTTTTTAATGGTGAGTAAGCTGTAGAGAACTCCTTACACCGCATATTTTGCAAGAGAATAAATATATAAGAATATGAAGAAGATTATACAACATGAATATTCCCGGAATAAATTCAATTAATAAACACGATTCTTTATATAGTGGTTACACAAATTAGTAAGAGCATCTCACGTGCAGTCGAAAAAAATTCATCATTCAAAATTTCAGTTCTTGTAGCCTAAAACCTGAGGTATTATTTCGTTTTTTTCATTTATTTGTTAATCTTTACAATGTTGTTGATGTTGTTGTTGTTGATGTTGTTGCTAGTTTATAAAAAGTTTATAGAAAAAGCTTCTTATAATTTTTGCATAGCAGCAATATCGGTAGATTGGACGTGGTCTTCATCTTCTTCGATGTTAGTTTGCAAGTCTTCCAAAGAAACCTTGTCATCTTCGACAACACAGTTAATTTGCAACTTCTTGATACCGAAACCAATTGGGATGAATTGGTGAGCACCCCAGGTCAAACCTTCCATGGTGATAGCCTTGACGGTGGCGACCATTTCTTCCAAATCGGTTTCATCGTCCCATGGCTTGACGTCCAAAGTGACGATAGACTTGGCAGCTGGCTTAGCTGGCTTAGCAGCCTTCTTAGCGTTGTATGCAGCGATTCTTTCAGCCTTTAACTTTTCAGCGGCAGCGTCAGCTTCTTCGTCGTCGGAACCGAATAGATCGACATCATCGTCATCTTCTTCTTCAGCAGCGGCGGCGGAGCCAGAGGCAGCTGGGAAAGATTCGAATTCATCAGCCTTGGAAGCAATGTGGTTGAACCATCTGGAGAATTCTGGGTAAGCAGATTGGAAAGCCTTGAAAGCGGCAACGTCAGCTTGAGAGGCAGCAGTACTATTTTTAAAAAAACAAAATGTTTTTGCTTGTTAGTATGAATGCTTCCTTACGAAAAAAGATAAAACTTTGCGTCTTTTTCTCTAAAAGAAGGAAAACAGATAACTACTAATGATACGTTGCTTTGTGCTATCGTCAGATACTGTGATAGTCAACCACATCTCTTTTGTCACTCATATCGGGGGTCTTACTTCCCATCATAAACACGGACCAAAGAATTAAATTCATCATTCACATAAGCGGAAAACGTAATCATTACCAGTTATCTTTCCTTCGCATGAAATCATACGGAAAAAAAAGAGAAAAGCAACAATCTATAAAATAAAGCTAAATCGGAACATACCCTTCAACGTATGACTTGTCAGCCAAAGAAGCGTTTAATTGTTTCAAAGTTTCAATCTTAGAGAAATCGGTGAATGCCATTGTGTGTGTGTATATATTCGGTTGGACTATTCAAAAAATCTGGAAGAAAAGGATTATAAGATGAAGAAGCGTAAGACGAAGATGAAGAGTGGAAGAAATAAAAGAGGCCACTAAATATAGTGGTAACCTTAAACTATTTATTTACTCAGAGACGACAATGTGAAAATTTTTTTTCCGTCAAACGCTAGATTTTGGACGAAATATTGCGTTGTGCATCGATTTCTACCGCGTTCTTTCACCTGCAGGTGCCGAGCCCTAAGAAAAAAAAAAGATTTGGTGAAAATTGGTGAAAAAACCAGATCAGGAAAAAGAAACGGGGCACGTGTGCGTGGTGTCTGGATTCACTGATCACTCCAGACGGTGATGTGTGGTGTCTGGATTCACTGATCACTCCAGACGGTGATGTGTGGCTCTGTCTCTTGCTCGTTTTTCTCTCTTCTTTCTAGAATGTTCTAGAAAGAAAAAGAAAAGGTCAAGATATTAAGATTACCATGTAGTTTTTCTCCAGATTTTAGTCGGAGAACGAATTATTATTCTTTTTCTAGAACGTTCCATCGGCGGCAAAAGGGAGACAAAGAGCTCAAAAGAAGGGGGCCATTTGAATTAGGTGATGGTTTCGAGAAACTCAACGTTATATAAGGGGCAGGTTCGTGCTGTTGTCGAGAATGAATTGAGTGCTAATTTGTTTCAGTAATTATTTCTCCTTTGTGAAATAAGCACATCAAAAAAAAAAGTAATTTCGTATTACAAGAAACAAGAACCCAAATAACTAAATATAACATGTCAAAAGCTGTCGGTATTGATTTAGGTACTACATATTCGTGTGTTGCTCATTTTTCGAATGATCGTGTTGATATTATTGCCAACGACCAAGGTAACAGAACTACCCCATCTTTTGTTGCGTTCACAGACACTGAAAGACTGATCGGTGATGCCGCCAAGAACCAAGCTGCTATGAACCCTTCGAACACTGTGTTCGATGCCAAGCGTTTGATCGGTAGAAACTTCAACGACCCGGAAGTGCAGGGTGATATGAAGCATTTCCCATTCAAGCTGATCGATGTTGATGGTAAGCCACAAGTCCAGGTGGAATTCAAGGGTGAAACCAAGAAGTTCACCCCAGAACAAATCTCTTCTATGATTCTAACTAAGATGAAGGAAACCGCAGAATCTTACTTGGGTGCTAAGGTCAATGACGCCGTTGTCACTGTCCCAGCTTACTTCAACGATTCTCAAAGACAAGCTACCAAGGATGCTGGTACCATTGCTGGTTTGAACGTCTTGCGTATCATTAACGAACCAACTGCCGCTGCCATTGCCTACGGTTTGGACAAGAAGGGTAAGGAAGAACACGTCTTGATTTTCGATCTAGGTGGTGGTACTTTCGATGTCTCTTTGTTGTCCATTGAAGACGGTATCTTCGAAGTTAAGGCCACCGCTGGTGACACTCATTTGGGTGGTGAAGATTTCGACAACAGATTGGTCAACCATTTCATCCAAGAATTCAAGAGAAAGAACAAGAAGGACTTGTCTACCAACCAAAGAGCTTTGAGAAGATTGAGAACCGCTTGTGAAAGAGCTAAGAGAACTTTGTCTTCTTCTGCTCAAACTTCCGTTGAAATCGACTCCTTGTTCGAAGGTGTTGACTTCTACACCTCCATTACCAGAGCCAGATTCGAAGAATTGTGTGCTGACTTATTCAGATCTACTTTGGACCCAGTCGAAAAAGTCTTGAGAGATGCTAAGTTGGACAAATCACAAGTCGATGAAATCGTCTTGGTTGGTGGTTCCACTAGAATTCCAAAGGTCCAAAAGTTGGTCACCGATTACTTTAACGGTAAGGAACCAAACAGATCTATCAACCCAGATGAAGCCGTTGCTTACGGTGCTGCTGTCCAAGCTGCTATCTTGACTGGTGATCAATCCTCTAAGACTCAAGATCTATTGTTGTTGGATGTTGCTCCATTATCCTTGGGTATTGAAACCGCTGGTGGTGTCATGACCAAGTTGATTCCAAGAAACTCCACTATTCCAACCAAGAAATCAGAAACATTCTCTACTTACGCTGACAACCAACCAGGTGTCTTGATTCAAGTCTTTGAAGGTGAAAGAGCCAAGACGAAGGACAACAACTTGTTGGGTAAGTTCGAATTGAGTGGTATTCCACCAGCTCCAAGAGGTGTCCCACAAATCGAAGTTACTTTCGATGTCGACTCTAACGGTATCCTAAACGTCTCTGCTGTTGAAAAGGGTACTGGTAAGTCTAGTAAGATTACCATCACCAACGACAAGGGTAGATTATCCAAGGAAGATATCGAAAGAATGGTTTCTGAAGCTGAAAAGTTCAAGGAAGAAGATGAAAAGGAAACTGAAAGAATCGCTTCCAAGAACCAATTGGAATCCATTGCTTACTCTTTGAAGAACACCATTTCTGAATCCGGTGACAAATTGGAACAAGCTGACAAGGACGCCGTCTCCAAGAAGGCCGAAGAAACCATTGCTTGGTTAGACAGCAACACCACTGCTACCAAGGAAGAATTCGATGACCAATTGAAGGAATTGCAAGACATTGCTAACCCAATCATGTCTAAGTTGTACCAAGCCGGCGGTGCTCCAGGTGCTGATGCTGGCGCAGGTGCTGCTCCAGGTGGCTTCCCAGGTGGTGCCCCTCCACCAGCTGCAGGTGCTGAAGGTCCAACTGTTGAAGAAGTTGATTAAGCAAGAAACTATGACTAGTGAGCTGTGGCAACTGATATTAATGAAAATATTCTTAATGAACTGGGTTAATAAGAAAATTTTCACACGATTTTATTTTATATATATATACATGTAACATATATTCTACTCTAGAGAAAGGAAATTTTTCGAACAAAAAAACAAACAAACTGTTGTTACTATTGATCACTTACTTCAAGAAGACAGTTTTCCAGAAGTAGGAGAGAAAAAATTAAAAAATATAACGGGGCGAGCTGGGAATTGAACCCAGGGCCTCTCGCATGCTTTGCATTTCTGTTGTTAAGCAGATAATTGCCCAAAGCGAGAATCATACCACTAGACCACACGCCCATGTTATTTGATGATAACTTCTATCTTGTGGACATACATCTCTACTAGAATAGTAACGACACTGCAACTTTAACTAGGATCCATGAATGAAAATGTGTTCGAATAGGTGACTTCGGACACACTTCTATTCATACGTGGTACAAAATCTGAAACAAGGATACCTGTGATAATATACTATCACTTAGATATTGTTTCATTATGAAACAGATATAACCAAATGTGGTGGTGATTAGTAAAGATAAAGATAAAGAATTTTGGTTGACCGAGACATACATATTGAGGGATAAGTTATACCTGACAACTTAATATCAATGTTTTAAATTATGTCTTTGCCATTAGGTTTCAAATAACTAATCAGCGTTTTTTTATGTACCTCTCTTATATAAAGAAGAACTGGTTATTCTTAATTATTACCACTTACTAAACTACTAATTATGAACTGTTTTCGTTAAATGTAATGATCCCCCCTCTTTGTACACGCTATCATTCATTTATCCAATTACGATATCAATCCTTGCGCTTCAGCTTCCATTAATTTCGATGACAGTTCGAATATAATGTTACTCGTCTTGTAGTTTATGTCATCTTTTTACACCGTATATAATAGTAATAGATGGACGATAGTTGAAGCATCCTCTAGTAAAATAGGTATGTAAAGCACACCTTGATTGGCAATAGGAAACTCAATAGTACAGTCATAGTTCAGAACAAAATTATGAAGTATCAGCTACAGCTACTCTCACTATATACTAGTTCACAGATCTTTAATTTTTTATTAAAGAATTACGTATTTGAACGCAAATTCGAAACCACCTACTCTAACAGGATTTTTGCCAGAAGAAGACAACTACCGCCCATCTACTACTACTATAACAGAATAATACGTTCATATGGTGCTTGAACATGTCATAAATTACAAGACCAGTGAAACAAGATCCAGACTGTCGTAAAACTTAATGGGGGCTGAAATGCATTACAGTGTTAAATAAGAACGCAATCCCAAAAATTTACCACTCAGTTTTACAAGTCAATGGGATTTTATGTAAAAAAACCGACCGGTTTCTACAAAGTCGTTTGGTTACATTTCAATTATTTTTAGCGACGTGTCCCGAAACACGAAAAAACTAGGATTTGCCAAAACTTGCACTAATTAAAAATGAAAAAATTAATAGAATCTGCAGCAGTTCAATTTATTAACTTTAGGGATCGACACTACCGATTCTCATTAAGCGTTCAAACTAGGATAAGACCACTCGTGGAGCACGCTGACTGAAAAACAAAATCATGATTAAATCTTCAATTGCTCTACCTACTTTCTTCGTTGTTTTGATTTTGGCGTTGGTCAATTCGGTGCATGCATCTTCCGGTTATGCTCCAGTTGCTATCACTTTGCCTGCATTCAGCAAGGAATGCCTGTACTACGATATGGCTTCCGAAGACGACTCTCTGGCCGTGGGTTACCAAGTCCTGACTGGTGGTAATTTCGAGATCGATTTTGACATCACTGCTCCTGACGGATCTGTGATTACTAGCGAAAGGCAAAAGAAATATTCCGATTTCCTAGTAAAATCATTTGGCGTGGGCCAGTACAGCTTTTGCTTCTCCAATAACTACGGTACAGCTTTGAAAAAAGTCGAAATTACGTTAGAGATGGAGAAATCACTGACTGATGCATCCGCACCTGAAATGAACAATGATGATATTATTGCCAACAATGCTGTAGAGGAAATCGACAGAAACTTGAACAGGATAACCAAGGCCCTAAATTATTTGAGAGCTAGAGAATGGAGAAACATGTCTACCGTCAACTCGACCGAATCGAGATTGACATGGTTGTCTATACTGATTATGATCGTCGTCGTCGTTATAAGTGTTGCTCAAGTCCTACTCATCCAATTTCTCTTCACTGGTCGTCAAAAAAATTACGTCTAAAACTTTTTTCCACTTAAAAGAACATATATACCCGCAAAGTGAAGTACTTTCAAGTTTTATTTAAAGTAATTATTTCTTCTTCCTTAATCTTATGTAAATTTACTGTATAGGATAAATGAAATATCAAAAATAAAACCGAAAATTAAGAAGCGTGCACTGATATGTCTCTGGCTGTCCACCAATCTTATTTATTGGCGTTTAAGCTTGACAGTACAAAACTCAATGTAAAGAAAACTTTAAAGCCCAAATATTCTGTACCTAATAACCCATCAATAAGCAATTTCTTCAAATCTACGTCCTTTAAAACAATAACGGATTTGATATTTTTCAAATTGATTCGAATCCACCCCTTATACCTTAACCATTCACAAAGTAGCATACTTGTGATACCCACATACATAAACAAAATAGATATCTTAGCCACTGTGACACCTAAAACTACACCAAACAATGATCCTAAAAACATCTGCTTGTTGCTACTTATTTTGTTCCTTCTCTCCTCTGTCATAGCCACATCATTGGCTACCTTGGGCTCCCAGGGTTCTAGAATGCTATCTTGCTTCGCAGCCCCACTCAAAGAATCATTGAATATCAACCTTGAAGGTTGGTAATTCATCAATAGCAGCCCACTAGCAGCGACACCAACAGTGGCTAGTCCAATAGAGCGGGTAAAGGGCACTCCCAGCTTAATACTAGTTTTAGACCTCCATAAGGGGAGGTTCTTAAACATGAACTTTCCAGCATTCAAATTACGAAACACCAGTTTATGCATATTAAAGGCTGAACTCATCCTTATACACACACTGCACGAATCTTTTCCTTTCTGTGTTTTCGACCTTTTCTGGGATGTGCTACGAGATCCTTGTTTAGCCAATTTCAACAACCCCTGGACTTTCTAATACTGTTGAAAACCTAATGTGAAATGACGGATTTGCAAAAATTTCACGACACAACAACTTTAGTTTCTGTAATATATAAAATAGAATATATATATGTATATATGTACATACAGGTTTACACAGGTGAATGTGACTACTTCTCCAAGGGAATGGCTCTCACATCATTTTACTCTGATTTGGGTCGGAGTTCATCCGCTTGTTTGCGTCTTCTTGCTCCTTCTCTGGCCCAGAACTCGTCTCTATATATTTCCCAGCCTTCTCGAATCTCTGCACTGAATGCTCTGGGATTAAGTACAAGTTTTACGTCCACAGCTCCAATTCTCGGTTGGGATTGTATTGTGACACTTTTCCAAAATTTCACGATGGTGTTATCGTCTTTAAGCCACACAAATCTTTTTAAACAGTAAATGTTGCCATACGCAATGGTTCGACTCACAAACCTCACGGAATCTGTATATTTCTCGTCCCATGTAGACTGTACTTTAACCAGCTTTACATTGAATTGCCTAATCCCCTTATTAGTAGACGTGAAAAACCTTCTTGGAATTACAATGGTTCTTTTATATTGCCCACTGATGTGAAAAAGAACTACGGTAATGGAAATGAAAGCTAGAGTGAATTGCAAAATAACTCTGTGGAATCCCTTGATATAATCTGTAGTGAAGTACAATTCGTAAAAGGTGAACGCACCCACGCCGGCCATAGATGCTAGAAACAAAGTGAACTGCCATTTCAATACCTTTTGTTCATGAGCTTGCCGTCTTAGATCGTCCTCCATTATCAGCAAGTTTCTGAAGATCATTGATGCTGGGGAGATGTTACTAGAGTTCCGTGTATTCTTTGCACTAGATGTCTTACTGCCAGAACGTTTGCGAGGCCCGGATATCGCACTATCATTATCATCCTGGATGAAGTTCCCCACGACGCCTATGCTCTCTGGCTCCATGACCTCCTCTTTTAACTTTCCACTATCTTTCTTCTTTTTATGTCTAATCAATGGATTTCGCTAAATTTCGCATCTTTTCTTTTAGGAATAATTATTAATTAAATTACCTTGACTTTATTGTTGAGTGAAGAAACCATGCACATATACATCTGAAAAACATTAAGAAGACAAACGCCTGCTTCGATGCTGCCCTATATGGAACAGGTGTTACGGGCATTCTATCAGAGTACCAATTGGAATACACAAAATAGTTACGAAGATATTACGGCTACTTCGAGAACATTATTGGACTTCCAAATTCCTTCTGCAATTCACTTGCAGATCTCCAACAAGTCTACTCCTAACACATTCAACTCTTTAGATTTCTCCACGAGGTCAAGGATAAATGGTTCCTTGAGTTATTTATATTCAGATGCACAGGATTTAGAGAAGTTTATGCGTAGCTCTGCCGATATCCCATTACAAGATGCCACTGAAACATATAGACATTTACAACCGAATTTGCACTTCGGCAGCAATGGTAGCAACACCACGAAGATTGGCGAAGATGTAATCGAGGTTAATAAAAAAGCGTTGCATGATTCGAAATTTGTTAAGAAATCTCTTTATTACGGTAGAATGTACTATCCAAGCTCAGATTTGGAGGCAATGATAACAAAACGACTCACCCAGCAAACTCAATTCATGCTTAAGGGAGTCAGTAGTTTCAGAGAGAACTTAAACGTTTTAACATGCTATTTCCAAAGAGATTCTCATCGGAATCTACAAGAGTGGATTTTTTCTACCAGTGATTTATTATGCGGATATAGAGTATTGCACAATTTCCTTACAACGCCGTCCAAATTTAACACTTCATTGTACAACAATTCCTCGTTGTCTCTTGGAGCTGAATTTTGGTTGGGGTTGGTCAGTTTAAGTCCCGGTTGTTCCACAACTTTAAGATATTATACACACTCTACCAATACGGGACGGCCCTTAACTTTGACAGTTTCTTGGAACCCATTATTCGGACACATATCTTCCACGTATTCAGCCAAGACAGGAACAAACTCTACATTTTGTGCTAAATACGACTTCAATCTCTATTCCATTGAATCAAATCTTTCATTTGGTTGCGAGTTTTGGCAAAGGAAACATCTTTTACCTAAGAGCAACCACAATAAAAAGCTCAATGACGTACCAGAGCCGATGGCCCGTGACTCAGTGGCTGAGAGAGGGAATAA